CTTTTGGTGATGTCAAAAGCCAGAGATCATGAAACTGCGCACAACTAAGGTGTTATTCGATGCAGCTTTTCCTCCTCTTTCCAGTGAGTGTATTTTCTCTCCAATTTGCGGGGTCCTTGACGATAAATTTTTCATAATTCTTGAATTTGACCCCACCCCAGCGTGTACACGTAAAATGCAAAATCTTATATTTCGAAGCGGTAAACGCTCATTTGCTTCGTAAAAATAGTGAATAATCGTAGTCGGTTTTTGAAAGCTTCAAAATCCGATGATTTGTTAGTGTTCGAGGCGTTTCTGTATTTTAGATCTTCGCAAAAGTGGAGACTTTTGGAAAAATTATCTTTAAAAATATTGAAAAGCCAGCTAGATATGCCAAATAATTGCATTGCATTGCCCTTTGCTTACTCTATTTGATGGCTATTAAAGGTCTTTTAAAGTTGAAAATGAAAATTGTGAAAAATTGTCAAACTTGGACATAGTAAAAACCATGGGTTCGAAATTTCGGCGTTTATCTCAGTGAGCAAAAGAGTAATCTGCACAAGATTATGACATTTAGAAAGAGGAGGAAAAGATGCGTCGGGTAGTGCTTAGAGCGTTTCCCTATCTTTGTTCCACGTATTTTTATGATAGGTTGAAAAAACGGACAAAACTTTCGGGACAACCTAATAGTAGTACCGCTTCAAGAGCAATACTGAGAATGTGTAATGCAAACAGTATAATTTCTTGAGAGTCAAAGGCAACTAGACAAACGGTTCATATGCAAACTTTGACCAAAAGCCGATGGATAGTAAGATGTTGGAAATTAGGCTTAAACACTTTGTGGACACCTTGTGGAGCTGGCTTCAACTTAGATTTACAGTATGGAGCGAATCACCGATCGCTTTTCACTACTATGAGAACTAAAAGGGTTTTGAAGGCAGTTTCCGGATGAAAAGTCGATTTAGATTTTGCACTTACCCGGGCCTATTCGCTATGCTGAATCCGAAGATCCACACTGGAGGGTGCGAAAACGGCAGAAAAGGACTCTAACCAGGGTCAAGCGTGTTGATGCGATCCTGGACCCTCATTTACGACCCCCCCCTTGAAGGTACCCATCCGTACGACCCTCCCCCTCCTCCCCTCCCTCCCCCTCCTCCATCTATCACCCTTACCTCCCCTACCCACATTTCTCGCGGTAACCTGCATAAACGATGTCAATCTCAAAAAACACCTGCGTGAGAACTTCAGTGAGGTTTCGGAAGCAGAATTTCTAGGCCAATGGATGCGCTCAGCATCTCTAGCACATATACACACCTTCAATAATGTTTGAGATTCCGCAAGTTTACTTTTGAATTTTCAGGCATACTTTAGGCCAGCAAATTCGATTCCCGTATGCGACAGAAATTTTTACACGGAGAACAAAATGACATTCTTGAACTACAAAGGATGTTTTCGACTAAGAAGCTCAGTTTTTACCTCTTCCACAGTTTTTCCTGCGAAAATAACCGCTTTAGCGCCGTCCAGAACGACGTCAAAAACATGCATGAGCACGGTAGTTTGAAAATTCGTAACTAAGACCAGGAAAAGACTGAGAGGCTGCAAAGAACAGGTTCTGTAGCATAGCGCCCAGACTATTCAAAGAAAAAGTTTCAGCCCTTGTGGAGCAGTGAGCTCAAAAAAATTTAGATCAGGCTCTCGCAAATTTAGATGCGATCCTTAAAAGCAAAAACTGGGATTTTTGAGCTTAAAATTTTGTGACTTACCAGAGAAATTATAAGACAGCCTGAAATTCTTATGATAAAAACTAGAGGGATGGCCTTGTATTACAGCAAGTTTGCAGCTAACAAGCTTCAATAGCTCCGAAGAAATTTAGATCAGGCGCAGATACGACCCCCTTTTTCTCATTTTTTGCTACCATACATAAAATCTTAAGAAAATCGCAATTTATAAAATAACACTAAATTTCGCACAGCAGTAGCAGGGCTTATCTAAAGTACATATAAATTGTAAGGTCCGCATAAATAGCATTACAAAAAGATTTACGAATTATTGATTGTCATCGTTGATCTACATGTGCGCTTTTGTCGAATGTGCGAGTCTTCAGTGAGCCTTTAGAAGCAGGATGTCTACACCAATCGGTACATCCAACATCTTTACCACACATACATGCCTTTAGTAGCATTTGAGCTTCTGAAAGTGTTTATTTTTTGGATTTTAGTCATGCCAGCAGGGTTCGATCCCCGTTTGAGACAATATTTTGCGGGAGAAATAGCGATTCCCATAAAAAAAAGAACTAAGTCATAATCTTTCAAAAGTGCAGCAAATGAAACGAATTTCTACGCTTGCAAATGTTTCAAGTTATTGTTCACTCGTTTTTATTTGATACATTGGTACATGGAATTCCATGAATTTTTTGTAAAGAACATGTAATAATTACTTGCTATTTGATTTGCTTTCAATCGTACGGTTTTTTATCCAAACTACCCCCTCTTACGACCCCCCTCCCTCACCGTAGGCCCCCTTTACGACCCCAGTTGCGACAGTCGCATCACACGCTTGACCCTGACTCTAACTCAGGAGGAAAGCAGGAGGTGGGCGGGGTCTTTCCCAGTGTGAACTTATCTTCTCGAATCGCTAGCTGCATGACATCGCCACCGGCCAAGTGCGAACGCATGACTTGAAATCGGAACCGAGAAACTCGCTCTGGAAGTTGGGGGCGCGAATTCATGGGGGAAGACCCTACCCACCTGCAGACTTCTCTTTTGCGTTAGAGCCCTTTTCGCTGTTTTTGCGCTCTCCAATGTAGATTTTCGGGTTCAGCATTGCGAAAAGACCCGTGTGAGCACAGAATCTCAATATCGACTTTTGTCTGGATACTGCTTTTGAGCCATTAAAGGCAAAAACTCAATTTCTAGAAAATGCACTTACTGGGGGGTTCGAAGTCCTTCAAACTTGTTCTGTGTGCATCAAGGGTAGCACCAGAGCTGTCTAGCTACTTGAGTTGGGACCTCCCAGTTTTTACTGTTGGTGAATAAAAAGGAGATCACAGGTACTTGAAAAAGGGTCCAAAATGGGCATTTGGAAAGTCGCTGCATGATTAAAAATATTGCACTCGCTCATGCTAGAAGGGCTTTCCGTTAGATTCTTTTCTAAAAGGAGTTACAGTTTGAGGTTGCTATGGAAAAAATTTTCGTTCGATTAACACTAAGTTTGAAGTTACTGAAACAAGTGAATTAATGAGTTAGATGAACAAAGGTTTTCTATTTACAGTGGCTTCTATCCCATGTTGAAATAACCCGTTCCATCCCTCTTCCCCCCATACTTAATACTCGGATAATTTGAAATTCCACAAAGAACAAACCAGTGTCAATATCTATGATTTTTCGAATTTCAAATGAAACAGCTTCATAAGGAAAACTTCTTATGTGGAGTATCCCATGTTGAAATAACCCGTTCCATCTCTCTTCCCCCCATACTTAATACTCGGATAATTTGAAATTCCACAAAGAACAAACCAGGTGCCAATATCTATGATTTTTTAGAGTCTAAATGAAATAGCTTCATAAGAAAAACTTCTTATGTGGAGTAGCCTACGTGCACTTCCCAAACTATGTGATTAACAAACTCGCGAAAATTCTGATCGTCGCGGAGCATAGGAGGTGGAGGCTCTTTATCTACAAAAACTTTCTGCTTCTTTTTGTTTCCCCTTCCCTCCCTCCACAAAAATTTTTGGACCTTCGCTGCGTATAGGTCATTTGTAGAATCGTGACGACGGATTTGACTGCGTTCTTTGCGCGTAGAGGAGCATAAAACACTCGTACAAAAAGGCATCACCTCAACGCTCAGCTCACAAGGGAATGATCAGAAATCGAAGTGGCCAATCCAGACAAGCTGCATACCATTGGATGCAGCTTGAAAGGCTGAGTTTGAATCTGTATTCCTTATCTGCTTAGCGCATTTGTGGACGAAGTAATGAGCCGTTAGAGGTCATTATTTTGCTTAAAAAATGGTGCATGCAAAGCGCAAATTTGGCAGTATAGAACCATACAGCTAGGTTACTTCGTATTCATGGAGCCTAAAGATGAGCTGGAAGTGCGAAAAAGAGCTCATTTTCGCACTTTTTGCGTGCGATTTTCTCGCAACAAGACTGGTCACAACTTCATCCAGCCGCTAAGCAGATAAGGAATACAGATTCGAAGTCAGCGTCGAATGCTGCATCGAATAGTAGGCAGTTGCTTGAATTGGCCACTTCGACTTCTGACCATTCCCTTGTCAGTCACTTCCTGTGTCTGGGTATGGGGCTTATCAAACGCAGTGTCGCTTGCATCAGCATCTCCACTTCCGCGTTGTTTTCTGCGTCTTTTCCGGACAAGGACATGCTCTCTAGTCACTTCCAATTATTGTGGTTCCGCCTCCACGCTCGCCCTGGGAAGATGATCAGAGAACATGAATAATATAAGACCTCAGCAGGGAATAGATGTCATTCATTGTCACAGCGTTGGTATAGTTTTCACCTCATTCTCCTTTCTTCCTCCACTCCTCTTCAAATTCGATTATAATAGGTTTCTTGGGAAGTATTGATGAGGGGCAGCAAGAAAGCCACATTACCGGTATACTTCTAAGCCCCGAAACCGGTGTGTGAAATTGTTTAACTAGCACTAAACGATACTAGACTTTCGTGTTTCTTTGACAATCTTATTCTCTTTTGTTTATGTTCACGGAAGAGATGCTGTCAAGTCCAGCGCAGGAGTGGAGATGCTGATGTAAGAGTTTGATAAGCCCTGTACATGGGTAAGCTGAACGCCATTGGAGCAGTGATGAAAACCACGCAGTTTCCGGTAGGCGCGTGCGTGTTGTTTATGGTTGCGGATCCGTCACGATTTTTCGACTTCTGTGTAGATCTGGACTTGCATTTCTTTCAACATGGCCTCTGATCAATTTTTAGCTTCACCGAAGTTGTCGCTGCTACTCACGTTGATTCCTTTAAAAAAATACTCTGTTGAGAGTTTGTGAAGTCTTTTATGCGTCAGTTTCTGGCGAAAGTAATAATTCTAATCGAACACCTAGTTGGTAAGAGTATAGCACAGTTAGTATTTAGTCCTCTCGGCCTCCTTGTTAGCAATGAAGAGATTGTCTAAAACCAAAAAAATGAATTCTACAGAAAAAACCCTTTGATCAAAAAAACTATGTTCAAAACATTTTGTTGAGATATTTTCAACCTCTGTTCAGAAATGAAATCATCACGACACGGTTTTTCTTTGAGATTATCGACAGCGACAGCAAAAGTCAGCTGTTGGGCCAGCTGTGACTCACATTTAACGCATAGAGCGCCAAGTATTGTTTTCCCCAACAATTCTGATCCTTTCTAGACCTAACCAATTCAAATCTTGAGAGTCCACGTAATATCTTATGTCCCTAATTCATGAAAGGCAAACCAAACCATTCCTTTGCGGATGTCTGAATCGCTCACTGGCGTTGTGCATTTGCACAAACCATGTGTTCAGTGCATAATTTTCGTGCAAGTTCCAAGCCTGACTAATCGAGTCTTGTCCGCGTGATTTCTAAAAAGTTGTTCTTTGTCTGTCGGAAGCAGACGCTGCATAGACTCCCCAGTAGAAGTTTCAGGTACTGAAACCGAGGAGGCGATGCCTCCATTGCCGGGCGATCCTCATCCTAGTCGACAATCAGACATCGATGGATTGAATCTAAGCCATCCAGGTATACAAAATTCTAGCTTCATTCTCTTCTTCAATGTCTTTTTTTGCAGGGGTTCATGATAGCCTCGAAACCAGCCAGGGCGATGACCATCCTTTCAATGTCATTCTTCGGATGAATGACTTCAATGAGGTGAGCTTTTCAAAGTTGTCAGTAGGAAAGAAAGTGTCCGATTCGCATCTGAAGGTGTTAAATTGCTCTGCTTCATTCATTCCTCATAACTCAGTCTTTCCCGAGGTTGTAGACGTGCGATTTATCGCAATTTTTTTTGATTCTTGCAGGTTGCGTGAAATAATCGAGGAAGATCTTCGAATTTCATATTGATTCCGTAGTTTTTTAAAAAAGTCCTTGTTGGAATTGAACTGTCCGCTCTCCAAGGAGCACTTTTTCACGGGTAAATTCGAGGTGAGGAAATAACACAGAAGTTAGAAGCGCCATAGACAGGTCTTACCATGAACTTGGACTTGAGAAAGGGTAGAGTCCGAGAGTGATCCCAAGAGTACCTAACTTGTAATGAGATTCGCGCCATTTCTAGGTACTTTGCAGCCAATTTTGTAATCACTTTTTTTGAAACACGTGTCGTTGGCTCGCATTCTCTTTCGATTATCTCGCTCCAGAATTCACTTGTGTAATGAGGCTTGGGATTTCACTAGTTAGAAGCGATAGCGGGCCCCTATATCACATCAAAATCTCTTTATTGGCAGTCTATCGAAATCTAGATTGGAAAGTTTCTGACGCAGCGCAATAGCGAGGTGTCTAATTGTATAGTCGCCCAAATTTCGCTGCAAAAGGTGTATCGGAGCAAAAAAATGCTCCAGAAATAAAGCAATTTTTTATTTTCACCGTTGGGGTTGCCTAGTCATCAGCGTAGGTTGCCTAAAAGCAGTACTACCTCCCTAAAATTGTCGAAACTCCGTTTCTCCGCTGTGAAGAACACGTTTTCGACATTCAGATATCCTGAAGTCCAGTTTTCGGGCAATTTCTTCAGGTCACCCACGTCGGTGGGCGTGGCGACCTCAGCAACGTTTACTTTCTGGAGCGATTTTCTTGCTTCGAAATACCTTTTGCAGAGACTTGGGCAATTACGTACTTAGAGGCCTCACTATTGTGAGGCCTTTCAATTTATACCCACCTCAGATTTGGGTTAGGGTGCCTCTACCTCAGATTTGGGTAGACCTTTGTGGTGTCACTCCAGATAAATCTGGAACTTAGCCATTACGATATGACTATATGAAAAAAGCTTTAGTCTTTCTCACCCAAGTAGTCCCCATGTGATGTTGCTTGAGGGCGACCGGCGAGTCCACGATGCTGTCCTCTATTGCAAGGCACAAGCAGATTTTTTGAAGCTATCTGGTTACCCGCTGTATGGGAATCATCCAAATTTTGATGCCCAAGTGAGGTAAGGGCGCTTATTTTGTTACAGATTTCGAAAATTTCGTGCTCAACTCGCTTACAGGAAGACTGCGCAGGACTTCAATGTGTTTTTGGACAAACTGATCACATTGCCTGGCATACGCACAGATGCGCTCTTTTCAAAACTTCGAGTCTTACTAGCTCAAGGAGAATCATATGAGACTTTCAAAAATACAAGTATGTTCAAGTCATTTATTTTCATAATTCATAGAAGCTGCGATACCACGGTTTTCGCAGAAAAAATTTTCTCGTGGGGGGGGGGGAGGAGGGCGTGATATAGGCGTTGCTCCTGATTTTTTTCTGAAGCTTTCAGAATATCTTGCTAATTTGTAACCCTAATTTTTGGCGAACAAAGGTTTGCGTGGGCCGTTCCTGAAGCTTTACTAGGAGATTGGTTTTTTGAGCAATTCTTAACACCTTTGCGATTCCTATTGCCAGAGTATGGATCTGCTTGGTTCGTATTATCTGTCTACTTTCAGTGAACGAGTTGGATGTATCATTGAAGTGCAATACGATATGGGAGAATGATTCTGTGGCTTACCGGTGCAATACTTGTGCTCTTACACCATGTTAGTATGATTGATTTTTACTCCAGTTACTTTTTCCACTTGTTCCTTTAGGTATGTCGCTTTGCGCGTCCTGCTTCCAAGCAGCCAATCATGAAGGTCACGACTTTACGAGATTTTTCTCACGAGAAGGAGGTGCTTGCGATTGCGGCAATTCTGATGTTATCAGACCTATAGGGTATGTTTGATCAGATCATTCTAAGGCTCCAATCTCTATTCTAGCTTTTCTGCAATTAGGACTTTGCCTTTTTCCATAGTTAGTGCTTTTTCAAGCCTTTATTTATTTTTGTTGAATTTTTAATCTTACAGCTTCTGTCCACGACATGGTGAGAACGCAGTCCGACCACCACCACCTTCACCACTGATCGTATCCCTTCCTCGTCATATATTCCAAAAACTTCTCGTATGCCTTTTCTTGGAGTGGCGCGGATTTGTAAGTGCCATTCAGAAATTCACAGATTTTCGCTAGTATCATGTTTTTGTTTTTGTATTTGCATTTTAATCGAATATTCCTAAAAACACATTAATTTCCTGTAATAGTAATTGTGAGTTAGATGTATGGCAAGACTCAGCCACTCGCAAAATTTTCAGAAAGACCTGTACACCCAAGAACGGGATGCGATGGAATGGGAAGAACCTTTCAATCTAGCTGGTTTTTGCGACAATCTAGTCACTCCAATGCAACTACTCATCAATTTCTTGCAGGTAGCTTTGACAAAATCGTAATAAATCGTATATGTCTCTCTTATCAAGGAATGTGTAAACTATGGTGGGCCAATGAGAGAAGCGATGGCTGAGATACTCATGGATAAAGATCTCTATAGAGAACTTACTAAACGGAATTCTGACGAAGGCATGATATTTGCGTTTCGGGTTATCTTTTATGGACTTTGTTACAGTTGATCCGACAGCACCCGCTGACATGTCTTTGGATTGGCGGACCAGACAAATGTTTCATTCTGATCGGATGAGCATCTTTTCTGAGAGCCTATTTTCTTGTTTCCCGGAACTTGATGCTGAACGATTACTTGAGTGGGTTATTTTTGGGCTTTTGGTTTTTTCGCTAACTTTGCTTTCATCATATCTATGCCTATGTACTGACAGACCATTTTATGCGTTCTTAAGGTGGGATGCTAGTTTTACAGGTGTGAGTGCTTATTGGACGAACTACTCTTTTGGGTGATCCGTATGAACTTCCCTCAAAATCTTATCAATTTTTCCTTGAGTATGCTATCTGAACCGAATTATACGGTATGTTGCACGACTATACATGCATGCTTGGTTTCTTTAGACTCTGAGCTGTAATTCTAGGATGCGCTGTCCATTCGCTTTTTCACATGGTATCCACTGGTGGCCAACTGCGTCAGAAGGCTTTGTGTTTATTCAAACCTTCGTGAGCGAACCCAGGACGTAGTTCAGAGCACATGTAGCCGACTTATTCATATTTCTGTCCAGGTAACCTGTTATTCTTTTTCTTTTTTGCTTTTTGAGGTGAAAAAAATCTGAAATTTGTTTCCATCGTTTCACTTTTCTTTGATATTATGCTGCGCTGATCATCACTCTACCTTACATATCACCATTTAGATGTTATCGTCGGAAGCACTTTGCAAACGCTTAAATGAGAAATGTGATCTTGTCAAAGTTGTGCTCAATACCGCTTGCTACATGCTTACCGAATATTTGCAGAAAACGGAAATGACTCTAGGTAAGCTGGTAATAAATCTTTTTTCTCATTTTTTCTCAATGTTGCCTGCAGATCCTTTCTTCGTGTGGTGTACCAGTGCGAAACAACTAGAAGGTAACGAAAGCGAATGGGAAGTTATGCTCATGGAAAAAAATGCGGTAAGCTTGTTGCTCATTGGTTTTGGCAACTCTTAACTGTTATAGACGATGACACAACATGGATACTGGTTCGTCATGGGTGACATACAGAATCTCCTGGCCCATCCTTCTCTTGCTATAAGTACGGTGCTCCACCCCACAGCATTTTCAGACACGTATACGACACTCCTGAATCGCATGCAAGGTTTGTCACTTTAGTTCTGATGCCTTGATACCCCGCGACAATTACTAATGTGTCTCAGGAATGAACGTTAATTGGAGAATTGTTCGTGGTGAACATAGAGAGAATGATAATACTGAACTTGTCCAGCGGTGAGCATTCTTCAAATTTTGGATGTCTGCCTTACTCATAGCACTCTTTTTGTGGAAATCTAAATTCAAGTTCATTCTTCAGGTCTTTCACCCTTGAATTCGAAGCACTAGCTCTTACGATGTTCAACTTCATCACTGCTATATCCCAGAAAGAGCATTATGTGGCAGCTGTAGCCTTTTTCGACAAGATCGTTGTTGGACTCAAGGTACATAACCTTTTTTGTATATATCAAATTTGGTGTACTATCTCACTGATCAAATGTCAAACTGTATTATGTGAGAGTGCTTTTTAGTGAAACTGTGCTCCCAAAATTATGTTCAAACAAAGCAAAAAAAGATAACACAAAACGCGCTTGTAACCTGAGAATCGAATTTAGAATTGGATCCAAGCGATTAGCGGATGGTGCACTGGGGACATCATCGAATGCCCCAAGTATTGCGTTTCCTTTCACCTTCCTCTTCACAGGTAATTTCCTTCCTTTAAGATACAAAAGTCTCAAACCAAGTTTTCATACAGACACCTCTCCACTGCCTTGTCTCATTTCAATGACATGGAACTTTTCCGAAGACATGTGGAGGATTTCCGTAAGGACGAGCCGCTGCTGAGAAGAATAGTCTTGCATCCTTTGAAGATACAGGTTGGGCTTTTTTCGATTGAGGAAACTGTGGGTTTTGTGTAAGCCTTGTTATGCGTTTTGTGAGCTTAGAAATCAGCATTATGGTGCTGCATGAATATAATGTTTGGTTTGTTCGTTGCATATTCAAGTTCAGGTCGCACGTGCGGAGTACTATGCTGGAATGTGGGTGCGCAATGGTAATCAACTCCGTGTACAAGCCATTATCTACGCTCAACCTCATATCAACGTATCTTTCCAGACACCCGATATTGACTTGATCAGGTATGAAATTTATATCGTTTTTACGTCTTCTAGTGTTTTATATGCAGATACTGTGGGGCTAATGTTGATCCTGACTGGTTCATTGATGTTCTGCTGCGCAACTTCCACCTCAGCGACATTTTTGCGTTTCCTCCAAGAGAAGAGAGTTTGGCAGATGAGGATAAAATGGAAATTGATCAGCCGGAGACCTCGGAGAGTGCCGAAAAGAGCGGAACTGTTGGTAAGGGTGCAGTTGTTTTACATTTGATCAGTTTTGTGAAATGATGCTTCTCAGGCACTGGTCGGGCAACACCGGATGAGGTAGCTGACGCGAATTGGGAAAGATGCGCAGAACAGATCAAAGTCATCCTCAAGGACTTGCCGCCGGTAAGTACCATTGTCGTACTTCTGTTACTAGGCGATGACGCTTGCATTTGAAGGGTAAAGCTGATGTGGTGATGGCAGCTCTTCATGCTCGTTCTGGTGACAATCTCGCTTTTTCCAGAGTGAATCCACCGTAAGTCCACGCTTTTTTAGAGGCAAAGTTTCTTGACAGTTGTTACAGATTGAAATATAGCGAAGAAAATCCCGAGAACTTGCCTAGTCTTGCATACGTATTCAACGAAGACAAAGCTAACGTCATAACCAGGATGGAGTGGGTGGATCCAATGATTTCGTCGATGCTTCGGTAAGCAACAGTCTTATCTCGTTGGCTAATATTTTCTGCTTACTTTGAAATCTCTAAAGTAGTTCTTTGTTTACGTGGAAATCAAGAATTTTGAGTTTTTGCTGAGACTGCTTCATTGTCAGGTTGTTGAGCGAGCTTGTGGTGCTTCTTACCAACTGCGGAGCATCAACGGAGGCGTCATTGAGAGCAGAAATGGTAATCAAAACCATGAGTATTTTGTTTATCTATTGTCTATCTATCCTTTAATCTTATAGGTGAACACCTTGGCTAGTGCACCACAAACTCACTCTCGTTTGCGTTCTGTTATCGCTGAAAAAGGGAGCAGAGGTGCCGAAGTTGTTGATCCACTTTTTGAAAAAGTGTTATATGAAGTGAGTTTTTTATATTGCGAATATTTGTTCAATTATTTATGCCCTATGCAGATTGCGGACTTCACTGAGCCTATAGCCGTGCCTGGTGGTCAGATGAGGCAAGGATCATACCAGCTGAAGTCTGATGTGAGAAAGCGTTTTTTTTTAACCTAAGTTCGTAGTTTGAAGCACCGTCAGCGATTTTCCAGGTGCGATTCAACGAGTTTTGCCCAGTACTATGTCAGCATCGCGCGCTTTCACCGAAGTCTAGCGCTACCACCCTGATGGATGTAGAAAAGATGTGGGTATCTCCTGCTGTTTTTTGTTTTTTCAGAATTTACATTTCAACAGAACTTCCTCCTTAACTAGATGCTTTTGTAGGGAAAGAGATCTAATTGGAAGCGATGAGAAAATTGCGCAAATATGGATCCCTTATCAGCTGTCAGATTTCTCTGACAAAACTCGCCATGAGTCAGTGCGCCACATTGCCAGGGTTCTTCTCAGTGATCGTTTTGTACAGCTTTCTATCGTTGTCCTGGAAGCGGTAAGAGTTGTAAGACGCTAATGTACAAGGTGTCAAAATATCTTAGGGCATTCTTGGAAGACCTGAGATCCGAGAAACTACTACTCAACTAGTCATCTATCTCTTATCGTTAGCGTACCAATACATGGCTACGTTACCACCATCCGAAAAATATGCGGCTATCACACGGTTCCGCAAAAGTTACGTCGCTACCGAAGGACTGTGAGTTCTTTTGATGCCGATGTCTGATTAACTGGCAAAGTCAGTTGCTTTAGAAAAGTTGTCCAACTACCGCTTTTGGTTTTCGTGCTATTCATTATCGAATGCGAAAAACGCGCTGTAAAAGCGAAGTTCCTTGAAAGGACTATGGCTGGAGACTTTGACAAGAAACGCATTGTTGGTGGTGCAGCTGAATATTTGGGTCGACTAGTTAGTTTGATCAGTAAATGGTGAGTTTCATAGTTATCTAATCCGTACCGTACATATCTCTTCAGTTTTATAGTTCGTGATTGAATTTTTAAACTGGTTACAGTGACGATGGAATCCAACTATCGTTGCTGTCTGCCCTCGATGACTGCACGAAAGAAAAGGAAGTCGAGCTCAGGCTTGATGGAAGTGATCAGAAAGCTGTTCAGGTCACTAGCATGAATAATGTAATTAGTTAGACCTTCTTGATTGAATTGTTATACAGGAACGAAAAGCGGCTGCTAAACGAAGACGTGAGGCGTTGTTTGCAGCGAATAAGAAGAAGAATTCGGAAGTGATGAAGAGACTGATGGAGAAAGAGGGCATGACACAAAAGGATATCGACTCGATTGACACTACTCAGGTTAGCGGCGATGACTTGTGGATTGTCCTTTGGTTGACGAGGTTTATCGATAGTTTGAAAACCATTTTTTTACACTGGTATTCCTTTCGTACTGTATAGTCACAAGCCTATCATGAATTACAGCCTGACGTACGTCTATACGAATGCCCAATCTGTGGAGAGCTGGACACTCCGTCTACTTTACGAAATCCATTGGGATTACTTGTTCGGGTATGTTTCTGAATAGTGTTTTTTGCTTTTCTGTACCTGTGACATGTATCTGTCATCTGTTATTCGGGTAATGAGTAATACCGTTTCTTATCAAACAATCGCAGACATCATGTGGTCTTCTGATTTCACTAGATTTAGGAATCAAAGTTATCATAACATGGATATTTGTAGATTACCAGCAATCCTTTATGTGAGAATCAAGTCCCAGCTAGTGAGAATGATGACAGCTTGCTCAGCTTCGACAACAAGACTGGCGAAGTAGTTTTACGGAATTTCAGCAGAACTTGGAGAAGTGGGCGTAGCGAGCTGTTTAGACGTGTGAGTATTACATATTCAGTCCATGTTTTCTAGCTGCAAGACTAGTTTTCTTTTGCCTCAAACTTTTCATTCAGACTTTGTTCTACTCGGATTTGATTGGATTCTCTACTTCGCTAGAATTGAAGACATGTGGACATACAGTGCATATGAAGTGCTTCAATGCTTACAGGGAAACACTTCGAGTTAGTACTAGACTCTTTGATGACTATCTATGTTACGCGATTTCTCAGAATGATCTACGTGTCAATGACTCACGCCGTTCATCTCGAGATGTCTCTTGTTTCCTGTGCAGGTACAGCGTGAACGCACTGCTTCCACTGCGGATTGATTGGGGATATGAAACTACACATAAGGACACGCTAGCTGATGATCGGCAGAAGGTATTTATGTTTCAAAGTGTTTGGTTTCTGAAAATCATTTTCCAGGCTTTTGATTCGTTGAAGGAAGTGATCATGAATTGGAGAAGGGTACCACAGGTATCTTCTTTTCTGTTACTATATCTCATGCGTATTCTCTTTGCTTCCGTGCTTGATGGTACTAACTCAAGCTGTATATCATTTGCTTTCAGACATCTGAAGAATCTCGTCCATATGCGGAACACTTCACGGAGCACATGCTCGAGCTGCTGAATAGTCGGTTCTGGAGTAAAGTTCATGAGGAGGATGATGTTGGCACGAGGGTTCAGACCCGACTAGTTGCCCTCATAAAGTTAGTTCTCTATGCTTCCTGTGCACTCATTATCTGATCTATGCTTTTTTATAGGGCTACTGTCGAGCGTTGCGTTTTGCTGAAGAAGCTCAATGTGCCTGAACGTCGAAAAGGCACCCGAGCGGCAATAACAGGTATGATGATGTACCTAGTAAGAGTCTGTCTTAAAGATGGTGTCACAATCGTAGCGGCTCGTGTCAGCGCAGCCGCCTTGCTAAGCTTTGCGCCGGGTTCGCACGTTTGCTGAGGCATGGAAATCTGCCCAGATGACGCGCTCGCGAACGCGGCGTAAGGCGCGAGCGAGGCGGCTGTATGGGTCCGAGTAGTTAGAAATGTGACACTCAAATTCAGACAGCCTATATGCTGTGTTTAACAGTGTTAGAGCAAATATAAACTGGGCTTCAATATGTGTGATCTGGTTTGAACGCAGGGAAACCTATTTATAAAATTTGGATCACCGTAGGCTAATACCACTGTATAGGCGAGACCATTCAGTCGTTATGGTCATTTTTCCATAGTGATCATGCTTATTATTCGTTTCGTTTTGCATACTACGTCTGCACGTTCAGAACATCTTGTCGCCGCTGCTGTATGTAGGACCTCTCGTAGAGATGAAGAAGTAAGCATGTGCGCCGTGCGAGATCTGTTGTTGCCAAACATACAGGAGTCATCTGAGGTTAGATAGTAGTGTCGTATCAGAATCTGTAAAATTCATTTTACAGGTGCTCGCTTCACATTCTAAAGAACCATTCTCTATAAGTGATGAACTCATAGATGTCGCGGAGATAAGGGAAAATCTTCTAGCGCTACGATCGGTAAGTGCTTGAATGTTCATATCGTCTTTCCTGCTACTCTTTTCCTATCATGTTTGCTGTGGCTTGTGCTGGAAGATCAAACACAGTGGCTTGGCAAAATGGACCTTTGTCGGTTTTTTGGTGGTGGTAGCTAGTAGACCATCTAAGTATACTGTAACCCAAGCCCGCCCTCCAATCCATTCGCTAAGTCCTGAAAACGCGCTTCAGATGCCCACATTAGAGGATGGGGTTGACGTGATTTTGAAGCACATTTTGACCAATATATTGGAGAGTGGGTTTGGGTACGATGGGGGAGGGGCAGTACTTGTGGGTGTCAATCACAATTTGCCGCGTTACGGCGTTACAGTAATCTGCGCGAGCGGCAGCAGGGCTAGAGGAGATGTCCCAGAGGAAATGTTTAGGGTCACATTACTACAGTGAATAAAAATAGAAATTCTGTGATCTGATACATAGTAATCTCAATATATCCATTCCCATCTTTTTCATTTACAAGATTTCGGGCCAGACTCCTATTAAACAGCAAGATTTGGTATGGTAGTGTGAAAATCTTCAGAAAACTTGAAATTGTATGCCTTGCGAGCCCCAGCTCTCCTCGCAGCTAATTACTGCCAGCCTGACGCACGCGGCGCCTGCGTAATTGACAGTCACAACTAATGGGGTGTAAGGTCGTACAGAAAGCGTGAGCTGTTGAATTTGCTCAGAATTTATCTGAAGCGCTTGGGTTTTTACATATCCGCTCTGCAGGTTTTCGTGTGCAGCACCTGTTCCCCACGAAATCTTTGGGAGCGGATACAATTTGAAAATGTTTGCCTGTCCAACTGAACAAAAAACTCTGCTTGACGTTGGGTGTTCAATCACTGAACGCTTTTGAACGAGTATGGAGCGGATTTATTTTGTTGACATCCTTCTCTTAATACACAATTGTGAATTCTTACTGTTTTTTGGGGTCGGTTCCTATTTCTTGATAACTTTATCATGGTCTACTCCAACAGCTTCCGTATTTCTGTACCTTCAGACTTCTGAGATAGAGCGTTCCCGTCAGTATGGAGATGCAGCGAAAACACCTGTGCTCCACTTCCTAGACAAGCCATCTTCTGTGAGTCGGAATTTCTTCCTCTCTCTGCGTGCACATTATCCTTTGTTTTTAGATACCTTTGATTTTGTTTGAATTGAAGTCTTTACTGGTTAGGCTGAGTGCCTATGTTGTCGACAACCAACACCTGAGTAGCGAGGACAAGAAAAGTACGTTACTTGCTATACATTACGAATGATCACATCTATCTGCTTTCAGAGCTTTGCCAGCTCCTTGCTCGACGTATATTAGCTGTAGTTGTGGTGAAAACTTTCCTTCGTGTGTTACTGAGAAGTTCGAAGGCAACACTCGACAATTTCGCTTCCGGAAAATTCACAAAAGAAGGGCTCTGTGGAGTAAGAAACTATGATATTGTCTATGTATCCAACAATTACCCACATGTGTTTTCAGCCATTTTCTGACGTTCCTCGCTTGATTGTCAGCCATCTGTCTGCAAATACCGCGTATTTCAATGATCTTCTCAACGTTATGCACCATGATGGTTGGCAGGTCAGTTTGTGCTCAAGCTATGTTACTTTCACCTAATCCAAGGAATTGCAGGAGGAGAAAGGCATCAGCGCTGTTCTTGACTGGACACTGACAGACTTCGCCATATTTGTCGCAGAGTTTTGGCAACATGTTGGAATTTTGAATAAGAGCAATGCTGATTATGCGGGAATGAGCTTGGATGATGCCTTGAAAAATCTTGGGATCAGTAAGCAACGTTTTTGCGTTATTTATTTATCTGTGTTCTTGGTTTGGTAAAATTCTTCTGTAAACTTAAAGGCTCCTATCAAACGCTCTCAAATCAGAGTTTCGACAGATCACTCACATTTTTTCATGCAATCTCGTTCCTTTTTTTACATGAAAAAAGGCGGATCTTCCACATCGATAGTTTTTGTGCTTTTTTCACAACTTGATGACAAATTGTCCGGTTGACTTTTCCAACTTATATTAAACATCCATCTTTTGGCTCGAAAAAATGTCATTCAGATCAACAAAGCATCGTCCCTGAAGAAGAGTACGTGAACGCATGGGTCCGCCGATTTTCGCCATTCCTGATCTGGAACTACGATACATCCCGCAAGGTATGTTTCCCATTCCGTTCCTGAGCTTCTTAGTCGTCTTGGATTTATGATGGTCATTGCTTGCTGGGAGTATGGCATGTTTACATAACTCTTATACGTGCCATGATGTCTTCTGTAGGAAGGAAAAGCATAGTTATTTTCATATGCGTAAGTGGAGGATAAATCAACAAAATATTCAACAGCGTCGCAGCAAGATCAAAGAATAGAATAAGCGCTAATACAGTCATGTACATTTTTGGATGATGTTTGTTATGTCATCGCTGTGTCTCCCGAACTTCTTTTGATGATACCATAGCCATGATTATAAGCAACGCGATTATCAGTACGCAGATCATGACCTGAAAAAATCAAATCATCAGAACACACAGCTTTTTTATTCTTTCAGCTTTCTTGACTGTAATATTGCAATTTCTAATGGATCACAAATGCGTCATAGCCCTATTCAAATATTCTGACCAGAAAGGAAATAGGGTTGTTCTGTGATGTGAAGCTTCGACCTAGTTTGGTCAGAATGTGTAGAAGCTGTTTTTCACTTCAATTGGTATAAATTTAAGGAAAGACTTTACCAAATATATGGTACACGTCCAGAATGCAGTCCAATATAGGGTTGAATCGCAGTAATGTTGTTCGAACATGTGTTGCTCAAAATGAACATACGGTTTACTGCCATAGACCCATATGCAACCTGTTTTTAATTGATAATAATTGTCCCATAACCTAAGCAGTACTGGAAGTCTACTTACCCAATGTTAGCCATACAGCATTCGCTACCCATAACAGCGCTTCTGTTCCCTGACAACATAGATTTACTGTCATTGTTCCGGACCTTCCATTTGGTGAGGGAATAAGATGATATATTCGAAGTGTGGCCGTAATTATGAGGAGAATGCCAGTTACCAAAAGCCATATGGGTATCATAGGTTGTACTCGACAGAACGGGATGTTAAAGCAGCCTGAAGTTAGTATAACTGCGTTGTAATCGTTTTATTGCACGGCTTAACTAGACCCTAATGATATGTGGCTTATTACTCAATTAATACATTTCTTCGAATGCAAAAACAAAAATCAAATCTTCTTTTTTCTCTTTTTTTCCTTTGTTCGGGAAATGCATGAGATGACAAGCTGACTCAGCAGCTGTAGTATAGTAGATTTGACAATTGATGGTTTTGCGGTGCCGACGACGTTTGCGTGAAAATTGGCTGTAGAGCAAAAAAAACTTGAAGATGCTCCATAGCCACATATTAGTTGTAACTTCTCGTCATCATAAGCGCTATTTGTTTCCATGCAGTTGTTGTCTTTACCGCAGAGGCACTATATCAATGGTCAGTTTCAACAGTAATTTGCTACCTTTTTAAGTTTTGGTAAGCATGGTAAGCGTTAACATAACTACCTTTAACACATGACGACCGAAGCCTTTCTCGAACCAACCAACATTTTTCAAATAAAATCACGCACAATTCCATCTACAGTACACTTACAGTGGCGCTGGAATGCTGGTAAAAACAGTAGAGGTTGTATCTAAATCCAGCATGAAAGAAAACTCCCGGAGTTGGTTTGACACATTTTAGTAGCCATTTCAATGAGAGTCGTGGTGTGCCAAGCCTTGACACACCATGTGTGTCAAGCGGTCGTCAATGTGTTAAAGTTCTATTGCCCAGAAACCCACTATCTTTCATGGACATGAAAATAACGGTTCTACACATTTTATATCCAGTGTAGAAGTAGTGTATTTGTGATGACCGTTTTACCAGAGGTTACTATTTTCTTCCATCAAATTGCCGTAGGCCCCTACCTCATTTATCAGTAAAAAGCTAACTTACCTATCAGTATAAGCACAAATGCTATGACTGACAGTGTGATGAGTAGGAATACGCTGAGTCCTGAAATTGATTGTTTCGATGTGTGTTCTCTCATTTCTCTCAGCAAATGTGGGTCATAATTGAAAACTTACCGTATGGTATCTTCTCATTTATATATTCACAAATATTTCTGGCAAGATCTGTAGAGTTTCCAGATTCGCTGACGACGCTAGATAAGTTTTGATGCTTCCTTTTGCTGCTTGTATGGCTACCTGCAAAATAATCATCTCCATATCCCGGATCCTAGCCACCATGTTGTTTGTTAGGCATACGCCATAGTAATTTCAGTTGATTCGCTTGATCCCTTCATCCATTTCGCACTTGTCAAATCAGTGAACTGACCAATAGCGAAGTGGATCAAGTGCAACAAGTGGATCAAGTGGACATCCGCTTCGCTGTTTTCAATTCAGTGATTTGAGTTCAATAGCGAAGTAGATGAAGCGGATCAAGTATGGCGTGAGTCTGACGTGTTCCTTCATGCAAATAGTGACGACGATCTTTGTTACCGAAATCGCTGTTTGCTTACCATTTGAGGTAGATGGTGCGTGCGGTGTATGCTGTAGAAGGGGACCTGCCTGCTGGCGGTAATGGTTTCCGTATGAAGGGGTTCGGCTGCTGGGTGTGATGGACGGTTGTGATTCTGGGGACCGAACCAGCGGTGGAAGCATTACTCGTTGGGCAGCAGGGGCTTGCCATAAGTCGTCTGGTCTGAAATAATCAGTGTAATTTTGCGAATTATGCATGTAATTGGTTTTATCTGTGAATATAGCAAGATATTTGATCAAATCCAAAACTAAATTAGCCTCAAAAAAGTTTTCGGAAATTTTTTGACTTCATGGACTTTTGCAAGCCTCTAAACAGATTTTTTAAAACAAAATTCAAACTTCTAAACTTTGTGAAATGGAGCTACGCCCCTTTTTCAAACGTACTTCCCCCTCCTCTCAGAATTGACTACTGAACTGCCATTTTTGGGTTAATGTGCCTTATCATATCTATAAATTTCTACAAGGTGATATTTTTATGCTTACATGATGTTAGCGGAATGCTTATACAAACATTGCATAGTCATCGCGAAAGCTTGCAAAAAACGGGGGTGTCCCAGATTTGCCGTGAGTTTACTGGGAATCAATAACGAACTTTTGCTATCTGCCCAAGTTCATCAAAAGTTTTTTCATAGGAATTAGCTCGTTCAGAGAGCGAGACTTTTATTTTATCTCGACACTTTATGAGTAGAAGCAGAGAAGAGGACAACGTAAGTGGCGGTAGAAGAATGCATATCGTATAAAAAAAAAGGGCTTTCACGACTATCTTCTGTTTTTGTACCGAAAATACTCCAAATCAAGTGAGAACAAGCTTGTAAGATACAAGGCTAGGATTTCGGCCTATATTATATTCGCAGGAATAGCCGAAGCTCGTGGCAAGGAATATATAAACATCATGTAGACAACGGCATATGATTTCACAATAACTCAAAAGAACGAAGAAGAAAGAATTGGTGGCGAATTGACGTTTTGAATTTGGATCGATGACGGTCCAGAAAGTAGGCCATTTGAAATGCTAAATGTGAAAATTGTCGGAATTGTCACAGACGAAATTCCGAAAGTCGAACTCGATAGATGTTTGACTGTTAGTGTGATGGAGTTCTGATAGGAGAAAGGTGAAATAAAAAAAAAAACTTTGTTGGCTCAGCTGCCGAACTGTCTTAATCTAGTAAACATTAAGGAATTGCTTCTTATGACTGGGGTGATCTGAACTGAGCTATCTCAGTCGTTTTCTTGGGATTACTGGAGAATACACAATTTATGTGAGCACATTTCAAAGCATATCCAAATTGACTTCAAAATACGGAATCTCACAACATTCGGATCTTACCTCGAAATTTGCTGTGAATCACGCCCTCGGTTGGGTTCATGATCGAGCTCCAAAGCTCCGAAAGCTCCCATTCGTTCAGAAGCTGATGAGGATGAATGTATTATGTTCTAAAAATGCGTGTTGATCACAATCGGTCGCCAAAGCAAACAGAAGCGGATCCTGTTGACACCGACACCGGCTGGAAAAGACGTCGTTTCGCGTGAGGGCGGACGGCCAGCCATCTTCCCGTTCCGTGCTCTCTGATAGCGATAATCGATCTCGCTTCTGTAAGCGCGAAGAATATTCGATGGTTGCTTTTTGAAGCTCTAGGAGAATCAAAATCAGAGAAGAAGACGAGCAAGAATGCTTGAGCGCAAAATGTTTCCATCGATGTGTGGAAAGGCTTGCCGAGTGAAGCTCGGGAACGACATTGAGTCAACATTGGAGCCATGTGACACAGAGGCCAGTGCATTTGTGCAATCGGAGCCGAACCTTATGCTCCATTTACCTGGAGGCGAACGTTATACGATAACGGTCGGACATATTCCTTTGAAATGAGTCAGGTTCAGCAAATTCAACTATGTTGGTCGTTGCCTGTGTGGTGACGCAATTCCATGTGAACTTTTACTGCTGAGAACTATGGTTTATCTGTGGAACAAAAGCTCTACAATAAAGTGGTGTTTTTGTTCCGTAGGAGCCAAATTGTGTGAAACTGACTCTATCTGTCACATACACTAAACCATAGTCCTCGGCATTGTTTCAGTGCAATGGATCTTATTCATACAATCCGAAATTGGGAAACCCAATTTAATATGATGGTGAGGAAATCGTCTGTTTTAGCTAAGTAAGTCTAGAGCTGTGAAGATTTTCGAAACTTGAATAGCTTAGAAGAGCTACCTTAATGTTCTGTGAAAATACTATGTTACATAGATGTTTGCACGAACTTAATCATGCGCTTGTTCTTGTTTGCTAGAAGCTGTACTCGCACTCCCAATGTGCGTAAAAAAATGATCCACTTGCCCTTTTGTACCTTTTGTTTGCCTAACTTGTGAATCGCATGAAGGTTGTACTTTTGGTTAGAGTAAACGTTCAGAGCGCGCTTGCTTTTTATCATTGAGATCTTGGGGAATATTGCTGAACAAGTACCCTTTGATTCAACTGGCTTGGCGGCTGGAAGGTGGAGCTTCGTGACCAGACTAAGGTTAGGTAATGATCGGAGATCACACGCGCGGGAGAGACGCAGATTGCGTCCGGGCGCGAGCGGCCTCACGGTCTTAAAGCTCCGCCTTCCAGCCACCAAGCCAATTGAATCAAAGGTTACACGCAGTGGGTAAATTACTTTATTCGTGTGGGAAAACCGGGTAAATTACTTTTCTCGTCTGGTAAAACCGAAATCTATCCTGCGATCGCTGTCTACTGTCGGAACGAAACTAAAGTGTGAGCAAGGTTCGGAATCGCTTATTGTTTATCGTGCTGGACCAGCGGTTTGCGGTCTGGAATAATCATAGTATAGGCGTTGTTTGCGTACGTACGAATCCTTTTCCCTGAAAAGAATTCGAGAGCGAAAAGAGATCGATCTTGCTAGTCGCTTACATGAGGTAAAAATGCAAATGCTTGTATCCAATTGTAAGTAATTAGAACGCTCTGAAAATTGTCCGAAAATTTATAGTTCAATGGTTAATTTTGGAAGCGGCTGTTGAATACATCTTTCCGTGATGCAGATTCAGTGCTACAAAGGTTTTGAAGGCATTTGGGTATATGTTGGTGGTCCCCCCCCCCCCCTCCCCTTCCCTCGCTTCTACGCCCTTCGCCATTCTACACCAAAAAACTCATCAGTGATAGAAGCATCCCTAACAAATAAGTGTGCAGGAAAGAAGCAGTTGATGATCATCATGCAAATAGATCATTTTGAACGTTTTTTTTCTTTTTTCAGGCCTTTAGCATGGAACCGTTGATGTGGCGGCCATTTTTGCTTCTGGATCTACCAGAGGAATATGATGTGCTTTTCTCCAGATACTTCCAGCGACAATGCATAAATTGCAACAAGGTTGGTGTCGTATAACTGAAGCTGTATAAAACTGCATGAGTAACACTTTTCTCTAGGAGTTTCAGAAATATTAATAGTTTCTGGGACTTTCAGGCGCCTTTGTTTCCTTTTGTGTGTCTACTATGCTCCACTTTGGTGTGCCTGGATACTTGTTGTAGCATCTCGGATGTTGGACACGAACGATCACTGCCTACAAATGAGGTGGAGAGGGTAAGTGAAAGGTTTCCCCGCAAATTTTACGCTGTCATACCGGTCGTATCTCGAATCATTGAGTGGTCAGTGATTTGCTAAAAATGATCTGAAATTCTTTTTCTTTTTATATGGAACCATTCCCATCAGAAATGTTGGTTCTGGATTTTTCAAAATTGATGTGAGATGGGAAGAACGAGGTACACAGGGTGTGGAAGAGGAAGCGGGGGGGGGGAGAGAGGAAGTCTGGGAAGTAAAAGTGGATTTCTTTGATTTATCTGTTAATCCTAGAGCAACATCTATTATGTGTTGAGAATTTGTATCTGATTCAGAAAGGGCTGGGCAAATTTTTTGGTGCCTTATTTTTTGAAAAGTTTTTTCGACGACCAGTGATTGGAATTCGTTTAAATTAAAAAATCTTGGAATGGAATTAAAATCTTTATATTCTTTGCACTTTAGCATTCGCTGGAATGTGGCGGCGACGCTTGTTGTTTCATTGCATTGAACTCGTCACTGATTGTGATTGTTCGAGAAGGTTTGGCAGCCGTATGGGGCTCTGTATACCTGGATGCACATGGTGAAGAAGACCGAAATCTTAGAAGAGGTCAGAGTTTGAGCAGTGGGGGAAAATTCGAGACCACACAAAGATAAGAGATGATTTTAGGTAAACCATTGTTCTTATCGGCTCGCCGCGTTGATTGTCTTCGAAGTGATTGGGCCGAGCAAGAATTTGAACGCACTGGTGCCACATGGTCAACAATGGCTGGACTTCAGCAAATACTCAAGGACGCTCACCTTTTCCGCTAAGAATCTATTTGCATTTAGTATGTGTGTCATGTTTATTTCGGTTCAGGTGTTACACCCTTACTAATCGCGTGTTTTATCACAAAGTTGGTTTTAATTTGCTTAGTGAAACTAATGCCCTGTAGCGCAATTTGCATAGTCACAGCGGAACTGTTTTTTGGCAGTTTAGTTTTTTTATATCGCTTCTTAGCCGTTCGGTTCTCTTTTTTTCTCAAGGCTTGATCAAGGTTTTATTCAAACCAAAGTCTATAGTTCTAATCTTTTGCAATAGGTCATTCGGTGTTACATATAACATCATCCTCTTCCAGGCTGGCGTTGATATTGTATGTATTCTCTTTCTGAGCGGTAGTCACTTGGCTAGGATTGAGTTAACTATTTTTATCGTGAGTATCTATCTATTGCAATTGTACTAGTGAGGCTTCATTGTAGTCCCTGTCTTCTTCTCTAGCGTTATATGTAGCAGTCGTAGATCACATTTGAATTTTTGCCGGTGTAGTATAGCATAGCTCGATCTAGAGTCAAAAATCCCGAAAACTTATTATTCTAAGTGTTTTAAAGCCGTTATGGTTTATATAATCTCTTATGCATGTGCTGTAGTTGTACGATAAAATTTCGGAAGTTCTGTGCAGAGTGCTTTTTTTTACTTCCAAGTTCCCTTTTGCTTGAACCTTGGGCACACGCCATTACAATCAAAACCGAGTATAGCAACCACATGTTTTTTTGTTTTTTCCAAGATTTTTCGAGTATTAGAATAGTTGAATACTTGAGAGAGTGCATTGAATTGATGATCGAATAGTCGAATAAATAAAAAGAGACAGTTAATCGACGTTCGTTCAGCCGACAAGATGAGAAATTACTATTCGAATATTCGAGGTCATTGTTAAAAAAACTGCATTTCCAATATGTTGATATTCGATTAATGGTAATTAGGAGCGCACATTCTAATATTCGTCTAATCTAATAAAACTATTACAAAGTGTGTTTATTAGGTTCATATCTCTTCGATCGACCATTAAGATCTATAGATATACAAAGTTTGTAAGTGCGCTTGTGGATACATTTGTTCCGCTTAGAAATCTAGCAGTGGTGGTAACACGAGGATTTCCGTTTGGGGGGGGGGTGGGACAAAAATTTTTAGTGAAGGTGCGTGACGTCAGCCATGTGCTCCAAAGTTTTTTTTTGAGACGCTTCTTATTTTTGAAGACCCCTAACCCCAAATCGCCACTCCCCGGAAAGATTCTTTACAAGTCTACTTTGAATTTTCAAGAAAACAAAAATTTATCTTATTCTAATCATTCGGAAGTACAAACAAGTCACTTGTACATTTCTATAACCCATGTAAGTAATTCTCAAAAATTTAGCGACCTCGGAAGTGGGGGCTACCCCCTTCAGTCCGCCACTAAAATCTACCTTTATGGACGAATCTAAATCCAGGGTTACGCATGGAGTGTGGCACACCTGAAGGTCATCAAAGGCGCGTCCACCCAGAATCTATGCTACTCAGTTTTCTCTACGGTGTATATGTAGGGCCCAGAAGAAGACCAACTGCTGGTCCGGTCTCCCAATGTTGCTTCTAAGGCGTAAAAGCACCCTTGATTTTTTTTGCGCTCCGCCCTTTTGTGCGGCCCGCCTCCTTCGGACGAATCCACGACAGCGGGAGCTGAAAGCGTACGCTGCAGTTGCAACAATTACAACCGCAGGTTCATGCAGTTGCAGCTGCTCCTCGCTGGCATGCCGACGGCTAGCAATTCGGAACCCGCCCCCTGAAGAAAGGTCCTCGGGAATCGGGGGTTTTCGGGGGTTTTGGAGAATTTGAATTTCATAATTGTGACCAGGGTCACAAAAAAGCGCCAGGATGACAAAAACATGGGAGGAGGAATTTTAGGGCTACGCTGCCTTTATTTTTTGATTGTAGCAAATTTATTCCATCTTTCAGATTTGTGAGAGACATAAAGTGAGATTATGAAGATTATTAAAGCATTTGTAAAGCTCCGTCGCACTCTAGTTTAGGCATAAAATCATTTGTGTACTCAAACTCCTTCAGCAGGCTTGCAAGTCAGTTGCCTGCAATGGAATTGCCTTCCATATAAAGGCAGAAAACGTTTTCGTACCAGCGCTCAAGAGATTTGTTGCTATGTGAGTATCAAAACTGTAAATTTCGTACAAGCAATGTGATAAGTACTGTGTTGCTTTGTAAGCAAAGTACTGGTTTTGGGGAGCTTGAGATCGAGCTAAATTGGTAACGTCTGCGCTGGGAGCAAAACAATTCTCAAAAAATTTAGTCCCAAAACTAGACTAGGCTATCTTTGTACTGCTAAGATCAGCACTTGTTCGGAAGTTTCCCGAGAATAGGCTGGGCTAACCTTTTGCGGCTTCTAGGAGCAAAGTATGTTTCATGAAACTTGGTCCCTCAAATCTGGCTGGCCTTTGCGTTGCTGAGAAGAAAGCACTGGTATCGCCTTGATTTTGCGATGCACCATAAAATATGTTGGCTTACCACTCCTACGGTAAAGCCTAAACGAGCGGTCATACATCATGCAATTTCATCGTGGCAGCGAAGATACAGGGACGACTAAATTGCTGGTTACTTGTTCATGGGCATGCATACTTCTGTAGGATTCGTGCACTCACATGCGAGCACATGATATACTTTCTCAAACTACTGTAAGTATTAGGTTGTTGCATAAGTTTTGTTACAGTCAACTGAAAAAATCCTCATAATTTTGTCAAATGATTTTTTCTTATCTTCAAACTATGTGTAGTGTTGCAGATTTTTGATATACACAGTTCACGCATAAGAGATCAAATTTTCGAATCTTTTGAAATTTTTTCGAATTATTTTTGGCAAATTTCCACTTTTGAATATTGAAGGCTTTAACTTCCAAATTGCACAGTGGTTACTACCAATGCTCCTAGACGTCCATGAAAAATTCAAAAAGTTGGAAAAGAAGCATAAGAAATTTATTAGAAAATAAAGAAAAAATTGGAGATTGGAGTGCCTCTATAGAGTTGTCTTTATATTTACTGTAAGTCATGTGGTGAGAGCACAAATGGTGCCAGCGGATCGCTCTTCATCTCTTCTATGCCAAATATGAAATCTTGCCGAGTTTTCTAGACTTTTTCAGAGGAAGACGAAGAAAGTGTAACAAACTTTATATAACAAACTAATATTTGTAGTACATTCGGCCTTTTTTTCTCTTACCTTCATTTTGCATTCCAGAATCGTTCAACCGCAAGACCACATAAACTTTGGCGTTATGTCAGTATCCGATCCGCAAATTTTTGAAGTCATGGATTTTGTTCAAACTCGGTTAAGGGGGTAATCGACCCGCTGATGCCGGATACCATATCCTGTCATGTCTAGGGGTGTACGGGCCCTAGCTTGATGTGTAGCGGTACAGGATAGGTATTATATATATTTATTATCTACATATATTACAATAGCGGGGAAGGGGAAAGGCTGACAAAGCAGCCTTACGGGGCGCGGTCGTAGGGGGTCACTGTCTCCTATCTGACCTCCTCGGCCAGCTCACGGGAGAGCAGCAGGCGGAGCTTAGCTGCGTCCCGACATCTCCATTCCTTCAGAAAGCTCGTCCTCGAGCTTGTTCGGCTGTTGTTGATCGTCTTCCGAGTTACGTGTGTAAGGAGTACACGTGTTACGGCGAGACCATAGAGAACTTCGATTTGGGTACCATAATCTTTAGACTGATTGAGTGGAGGAGTTGGTTTAGGCGGATTGATAACCAAACAGCGGCCTTCACCTCATCCTAGGGTTACAGAGTGAGCTTGTCCTCAAGCGGAGAGCTATACGGAATGAACGATGTGACGTAGGGGACTGCTTGGAAGAGGCAGTAACATGTAGTTGTAGGAAGTGAACATATCCCGGAAATTGACAAATGGGAATAGTTGGCGTAGAGATTTATATTAGTATATTGTGACCGCTATTTAAATTTTGATACGAGGAAGTTATGGGTTGGAGGGGCACTGCTGTTAAACATTTAAAAAATAGCGTGATGAGCAGAAATAACATAGATAACAAAGTATTGGGCGATATTGGATGACATTGGTAATTCTGAAATTATATTTTACATAAAATAGTTAAGCGACATGTGGAATTTTGAGATGTGTGATAATAGGACAACTAGGTAATTTGAACCGAGTGACATATAGTTATACGATATATAAATAATGCGAATGTTTACGAAGCGGAGGAAGATTCAGACGCTGAATTGAGCACAACAAACTGCGTTTAATTCAACGTAGTGGCAAATTTTGAGTGTTAGAAAAATGGGAAATTTTTTTTTCGCTGCCTAGTACAAAATTTTTTTTTCCATTCTTTGAACTGCCGGTTCAAAGAAATTCATGCTTATAGATGAACGCAGCGGTGCGGCAAAATATGTGTAAACAAACTCACGTTGAGAAATATCCCGACAGCAGGAAAAAAATAAAAGTCTGATAGTCGGATTTTTCCAAACTAGTTGCATTTGAAATTGTCTTGCAGTCTTGCGACCAAATTCAAGACTACATTCGTGAACAAAACAAACTAATGTCGTTCATGTTCTGATGTTTCCTTTTTTTTAAATTTTTTGATAATTTTGAAATAGTGCATTTTTGGAAGCATTAGCCCATTTTTGACATAGACAATATGAAAATGCAAACCAAATTATACAAAATGAATTAGCAGTACAGTTTGGTATAGTAATTTATAAGAATAGAACGTTTCCACTGCAGAAACTACGATATGTAACTTTTGAGTCATAAGTAAAATTTAGCGGAAATGATCCTAACATCATGTGTGGTAATTCACGACTAATTTGTAATTTATTAAAGCTATCTATGTTTCTTCAAGTCCAGATCCAGTATAGAAAACTCTATGGAATATTGTTCCTGAATTCTGCTGAAATCTGTAAAGGAATCATTACCATCGTTTTCTAGAAAAAACAGGACTGGGTGACATGAAACGTACGAAACATGTTTTTCATTGCCAAGAATGAATTTCGGTGCGACAAAAAACTATGCCTTCACTGCTTATTGCCAGCTTCTGCTGATCATCTTTAAAAAAATGCGATCATTGCTTCCGATCTGAACATCAATCTGGATATCTCAATATGTTTAGAAGCACTGAGGATTTTTTTGACAAACAGCAAGTTTTTCTTTTGTAAAGAGTTTCGCTTAGAAGAGAGAATTGTCCTCTGAAAACAATCTCCATTCAGCTACAAGTAATATCCTCTGAAAATATTTATAATTGTAGTTCTGAATTGCTACGTTTAACAACGTAATGCAGACTTGGTTTGTGCAATTGCACAAAACTGGAGAAACTGCTATATTCCAATGATCTTACCAATAGTGTGTGTCCACTGTTTTTGAATCTGAATACTTTTGCGCATATTTTGGTAAAACCTCAGAGAACATGGAGAGGTCTCATCTAATATCTGAACGTGTATCTCATGATGTAAGTAAAAAGTTATTGAGAACAAACTTCAATCACATTGAGGAAAATTTATCTCAACTCTTAAATTGAGAAAATTTGAAAATCTCGAAAAAGAAGAATATTCACATCTGAATATCTCTTTTTTCCATTGCGTCAGTGCGTGAGAAGAATTTAGAATTTTAGATATTTTAGGTTGTGCA